AAAATTAACATACTTCAGTATCAATTTCTGCTAATTCCATAGTAATATTAACATTAGCCATAATCTTAAAATTTTATAGAAGCAATCTATGAAAAAAGAGAAAATGTGAAAAAAAATAGTTTTTTTAATATTCTGGTATTTAAAAAGTTATTCTAAAATAAATTGCATAGTTGCTAACGTTATTTTAGACTCATCATCCTTGACATGTATATGAGTCTCTATATATGTATCAATCTACCATCAATATACAAATTTTAATTAGAATGATAAAGATAACCTCATTAGAATATCCAACCTAAAATATAATCATGGATTTTTATGAACAAATTTCACAAAATATAGGTTAATCATAATTTTTTTTTTATAGCTTTGTGTACGAATATTACATATGGGAGGCATGTAACCCTTTGAAAGTGTGACAAAAAAACATGATAATTGTTATTGTGCTTGGGTGGTTATTATCTTTATAAAAGAACAATAAAAAAATACACTTTTCCATATTTATAGACCAATTTCAAATGCTTCCTGAAATTCTCCTGGAATCATGTTAAACACCTTTCAGACCGATGGTTTCTCATTATCCTTACATTTTTTGGAAAAATTAAATTTAATAATCGAGTTATTTCCAAATAATCTAAAGAAAAAATAATGTTAAATGCACTTACAACAAGACTTTCTTGGAGGATTTCACGTTTTACATTCAAGGGAAGATCATTGGGGTCGAAAATACATTTCACAAAACTTAGGTTCGTGGAAACTAAACAAAATATAAAAAGAAAAAAATGGGTAAAAGTATAAAAAAAATGTTTTGGTCCCACGAAAGTACATTGATATCAATCTTATCAGTTCTCCATCAAAGTGATTTGAAATGAATACAAGTTTGACATAGAGTTATATTCTTGGTTTTGGATTAACAATGCTTTCAGGAGTGACAACTGGCAGAAAGAATACTTTCTGCCATCGTTTATGGTAAGAGCAGAGAATATAGTTGAGATGCGGATGAAATGATGCACATACATAATGATTTCAATAACTGTTATAGTGTGTGTGTGTGTGTGTGTGTGTGTATATATGTGTGTGTGTGTGTGTGTTTGTGTGTGTGTGAGTGAGTGAGTGAATGAAATAGATATACAGGGAGAACAATGACACTATAATTTTTTGTAGAGATACGAATAAAACAAATCCAAACCATATTTGTGTAGCCCTGAAAGTTACAAATTGCAACCCAGATACACACAATGAAACTATTGGAGTTTTTAACTAAAGAGATGAATCCTAGACACCAAACCAATTCCATTGCAGACAATACCAATTCAGTTCCAAAGAAACAAGATCTTATGCTTTTGTTGTTGGCACATAGTTACACGAAAACGGTATCGTTCCGGTACATGGAACGGAAACGGGATCGAGGATCGGTAATCTATGAAATTCGGTACAAGGGGGTAGTCTTCTTTGAAACCCTATTTTGGTACGTGGAATGGTATACCATGTAATGTGGTACAATGTACCATATATTACTAAAATATATAATACTACGAATATAAAAAGTATACTAAACATCAAAAGATCAATACTTCGATTCATAGTTCAAATGTTCAATACAAAAGTAACAAAATAACTTCAATACCAAAAGATCAATACCAGATAAAGCTAAAATAATTTCAAAGTTAAAAAAAATAATAATAAATAACTTCATAATTCATGTCAAAATTTCACCAACTTTACTATTTCCTTTGCCTTTTTTTTTATTCCCATCATCAGCCACTCTCTCAACGTATTCTAGATTTTCCCATTTCAGTTCTTCAAGTCTTGTGTTTGACTCTTCTAATTTAGTGCTTTCGGGATTTACATCCCACTTCTTGTGTGGTGCGGATGTATAACTTTCGGAGAATCTCAATTGGAGACAAATACTTGAATGTATAAACACCAATTTATCAGCCCTTTTGGAGATCAATTGGTTACTCTTGACATTATGTATGTAAGAGTACATACTCCAGTTTCTCTCAGTTGATGAACTACTAATAGGTTGTGATCAAACTTTCTTTGCTATAACAGCAGGTTTGGGCATTTCTGACCCATAACTTGACCACCAGTCAATAGCATCGATGGTCACCACATCCATGTGAGTTGTCTGCAATGCATAAAGACCTTTTTTCATGTAAAAAGTAGTGAATTTCTCCCATAGAAGACACTCATCTTCTCCACTTTTCGTGATCATCTTAAAAGATTCCATTACACCAACTACAACCTCCTTATCAAGATTTGGAGCTTTCCTATGAAATTCACCTAGTGCCATCTCCTCAAGATAGTTTTTATCATAAATTTGTGGAGATAATGAAAATCCTAAACAATGCAAAGGGATTGTCATCTTCTCCCATCTTGCTAGTATGATCTTCTCCACTCGAGGGTAATACCTATCATAATGATGATTCATCATGACATCCTTAATCTCTCCTAGCATGTTATCCATTTTCTCGTAAATTTCTCCCATATTTGATCCCTCACCATCATAAAATTTAACGATCAAGTATATTGGTTTTGAAACAGTAAGAACACTTTCCAAATCATCCCAAAAGTCTACACTTATAATTGTATCAGCAACTAATAATCCATTTTTAGCCACTCTCTCCATGAATTAAGGATAATTATAGTAGCAAGACTCTCTATAATCCTATAACCTTTTGAGCAAAATATAATTACATGAAAATCTTGTTTTGCCTACTTTTAACAATTCCACTTGTGAATTATCTTTAAAAATAGCCAATGCATGGGTGTGATTAAGAAAATACTTAATAATTGTTTTCCCTTTCCTATATGTGTCCATTAGCCAAAAACATTCGATTGTAAGATCTTTAAAAATTAAATTCAAAGTATGGACATAGAAGGAGACTAGAAAATGTGTTTATATACCTTCTACACCTCCTTTCTAGCAGCCTTACAATTTGCTGCATTGTCGGTTATAACTTGAAGAATGTTACTTGGTCCTACGGTTTTAGTGGCTCCAAGCAAGAAGTTTGCAATTACTGCTCCTCTCTTCTCTACACCAGAAAAGTCATCTGCATACATAAACATGGTACCACGACTGTTGGCAACAATAACTTTAATTAACGGTTAATGTTTAACATTGGACCAGCCATCCGACACAATAGGAACCCCCTGTGTATACCATGCATCCTTCACTGAAGTGAGCCCCTTTTCCACATCTTTTACACACTCGTCAAGGAAAAACGTTCGAGCCTTATCATATAGGAGTCTTGTAACCAGCAGGTGCCCTGTTTATAGCTGTGATCATCTTTTGAAACTGAGGATTACATAGAACATTGAAAGGAATGTCATTAGCACATAACGCTCTCATAATCTTCATATAAACCCTGTTTATTTCCATCACACCAAAAAAATCTTCGATTGGTTTCTTTCCATTAGATTTTTTTTTATTAATTATAGAGTTCTTCAAAGATTTGGAAACACCTTTTTAATTTAACAACATTTACTCTATTTAACAAGCTTTGATATTTAACCGATTCCTTAAGTATAATAGGACACCTTTTAATTTCTGGTGCTTTCCTATTGCAGAACCAAAAAAGTGTACATGATTTCGTGTATAAGAGCGGGTAAACATCTGGTGGCAGTGCTTACACACCCATTTCTTTGAACACCCTACATTTTTACTTCCTGATACACAAACTATGTCGAATTCCTGCAATAGGGGCTTATCATCCTTCGAAGCCTGGGTATTTTGAGGAACTTCAACTTTCTCTGCGTCGCCTAGAACTCCCTCTTGATTATCATAATCAATCAAGGTAACATCAACACTTTATGGAATGGGATTATTTTTCCAAATGCCATCTTTGCAACAAAGAAACTGAGAAGAAATAAAGAACTTGAAAAATGGAGTAAAGGACTAGAATTTTGAAAATGTGGAACTGATAAATGATCGTGAATGTGAAATAGGGTGATAAAAAAGGAGTGAGTAATAGATTTTGGGTTCCCCATACGTAATTATTCTTCTTTTTTGTTTAGCCATTTGGGTTCCCGATTTTGGAACGAAAGTGAACGTTTCACCTACCGATGCATTTTTTTCAATATGCTTTTTCCATAATCGTGTTCCAGACGTTGATGGGTTGTCGATTGCAGTCGATTGAAATCGTGTTCAAAATTGATATAGGATTGAAATTTCAACGATTAGGGATCGATAACTTTTGCGATTGGATCGTGATTTAGTAGGCAATTGGATCGCGATTTAGTAGGCACTTGGATTACTATTGGTCCCAATTCCGGAACATCCGATCTGGAACGGAAAACATAGGGGGGGGGGGGGAGATCCTAGTAACTATGTGTTGGCGTTGAGGTGGTATTTAATGGCAGAAAAGGAAAAAAAAGACAATATTAAAGAGCAAATTCTTGATGCTGACACATGGTGACATTAATGAGTATTATTAAGCTCTTTTCATGCTTAGAATGTAAGTTATAACTAAAGGAAAATTTCCAGATCAAGTTGAATATATGCATTGATCAAAACCTAAATCGGCAGTTAAGAAGAAAATTTATAAGGTCATATTGAAATTATGCACTAGTTATATACTATGATGCAGATGGATGTCTGATTGTTCATGATTCTCATATGAAAATCAATCGATAATAGAAATGAAGACGTAAAATCTTACATCTTCGGGAATGATAGTAAAGAATGGCCGCAAACAAAATGTATTTTTGATCAGCAATTCTCCATCTAATTCATCTTAAATGAACCTTATTTTTCCTTTTGGAGCAATGGGATCTGTTTTTGGTTTTATTGATATGAACAATGCTAGATTCAATGATATGAAATCAAAGAGTTCCTGCAATAAATAGTATTCAGATCCATAATCCACAATTTGTTGAATCAATTTCATCGATTACAACTGTAATTACACAACGCAAAAATCATGTATAATATAATTGAAACAATGACCCTAATAATTGTGGAAATCCGATTATAATCTATCTTTAGACTGTCAGAGATGATTTTAGGGGATATCGACATCTGTTCTTTGCAAATCAGTAATCGGTAAATGTTTTCCTATAATGTACCTTTAGAAATTACGTTTACATTCACCCTGTCATACAAACCTTCCTCGATACTACACCTAAAATGAAGAAAAAATGAAACTGACGGTAGCGTACGGAGATGGCGACCTGGATGACAACGATGGCAACTTGATAGTGTAGCGGCAACGAAAAGATGGTGGTGATCGTACATTCAAATCATCGTTGTTAGATGGGTTCAGGTCTTACTCTATTAGTGCATATTGGTAGACCTAGATGGAAATTGATAAAAGTATCTGGTTAGATAATATGTGATAATGGAATTGTACTTAACTTAAATGGATTGAAGTCTAAATTGAATTAAATCATTATATAATATCTCAAATACAATAACAGAGGTGGAATAATTTCAATATCCTTGTGAAAGTTGGTATTTCAATAAAAATTCGGAATATTGTTGTAATTTAATTTTATTACTATAATACATATAATATTCGATATTTTTAATTAAATATAACATTTAGTGGCATTTTAAAATAGTATGCCACTAGTAGTTATGAATGTTAGCGACATAAAAATATTAAGTGCCACTAAATTCGTTAATATTTATAGTGTCATATAAAATATGCCACTAAAAACATGATACACTGACACATCAGTTATATGTTATTAAAAATGTATGTCACTAAATGAAATTTATTAGATACTATGAGCTTAGTCATTAGATTCCATTTTCAAGCTATAGTTCTAATGAGTGATTTCTATACTTAATGGACTTTAAGGTGGGCAGTAAAATTTAATCAAAAATTATTATTAATAAATTCATTGTTAAAAATGGTTTAAATAGATCCATAGGGGATCTATATATAAAGTTAGGTAACTGACATTAGATCACCATAATTTGATGTACGAATATAATGAAAAAATTATCTTCATTAGTTTACCAAATTGACACTTTTAGTCTGTCTAACTTACATTTTCTCAAAAGGGATAATGATTTGAGAGGGTAACATACTATTGTTTTTAGTCACTAAACTTTTTTTCATGATCTAATATCCCTTTAACTTGTTGATTCATGTAGATTTTTCCCTTATGATCGATTTTAGCCAGTTTTCAATGGTTGAATCTTAGGCCCTGATTTTGTCTCCCTTCCTTATTAAAGTTAATACCAAAGTCTCATTTGGTCCTTAAATTTGATTAGGGCAAGAAGTCTCATTAGCCTCCTTCAATCTTCACTCGGTCTCAATAATGGCTTCATCACAATGTCCTACTGATCGAAACTTTATTGTAGTGGATTTCCATTACATGGAACGTTTGCACCCAACCCATTAGTATACTTTGATCCCGATAAAACGTTAGTGCGAGATATTGACTTCAGTGTATTTGAGTACAAGGAGTTCTTGGAATTCCGTCACAAGCTCACCATAACGAGAAGCAAAGATATCTACTTCTGCCTTCCACAAGAGTCTTTAAGTCAAGAAATTCACACACTGGTGAATGAGGGTGATTACAAAAAAAATTTGGATTTGGCTTATGCAAATGAGAGGAGAATGAATGTGTATGTGGACCACCAGAATGAACCAATATTTGAATGGATTGGGGAAGAGGAAATTGAAGATGAAGACTACAACTGTGAAGAGGATGAAGAGTCAGTCTTGTCGAACACTTATTCTGTTGACCATGTAGAAGATGATGTTGAATATCCATTCCCTATCAACAAAACCATGGGTGAAAGGTTCTTAAATAAACTTTGTCTACATCTATCTTTTAATACTAGCCTTATTAATTATCCCTACATGTCACCTCATTTTCCATGAAGGATAAACAGACACCTATGACCGATTCAACCGTTGAAACCGGAAATAAGCAGTCGGAAGGGGAAAATCTACACGAATCAACAAGCTAAAGGGCTATTAGATCAGGAAAAAAAGTTTAGTCACTAAATGTGACCAAAAGCAATAGTGTGTTACCCTCTCAAGTCATTATCCCTCTCAAAAAAGACATTTATCAACATTAAAAATTTAGAAACTCTAACTTTAGCTTCTAAAATTAATTGATTACAGCTAAATCCTCAATACAAGGTTACCTGGTTAAATTCAAGTTATACACAAGTTTCCCAAACTGAGCACAAATAGTCCTTCTAAACTAATATTTTGAACTAACCTTAAAACCTTCTAACAAATTTGAGATTTTAATTTTATTAATTTTAATCCGTTTTCATACTTTATGTAATTTAGTTATTTTTATTTTTTTAGTTTTTCAAAAGTTAAACTGTATAAATAGACAAAAAAAAAAAAGACAAAAAACAAGAATGTTAGAATTCCAAATACAAATATTGAAAAACAACAACAAAGAAAAGAGCATCTATAGAAATGTGTCTAACATTAAGGAATTGATTTTAGTCTTTTTAGCCTTATGGGGTTTCTTAGATCATACTTCTTCTTTCTAGAGTCTCGAGTAAACATTCATGAAGGCTTCATATTTCCAAACCTTTTAGCTATAAGGGAACATTCATTTTTTAGAATCTTGACATCCAAATTATCACCATTATCATAGTAATGACTCCATTGATCATTATCATTAGATTAATAGTGTATAAATAGACAAATACAAGATAAAAATAAATGAAAACATTCGTAATGGTAACTATGTAATTATAATGAATAATACACCCTTTAATTTGGAGGATGAATGCTCAAACTATTATGAAACTATTCAAAGAGGATCTTTGGTAAACCATATTTGATATTGTGAAGGAACATGTAAAACACATATATGTCCTTTTGTATCTCATTGATGGATAAAAGGAATATCACTTTCAATATGTTTCATGTGTTGAACAGATTGCAAGAAAGATAAATGGTGATGATGCTTTCATTATTGGGTTTACGACACCCGCTTGTACTCTATTATGCACAATCTATGACACTTCAAGATACATACTCCCCAAGTTTCATTATTGTTAACATACTTGAATTTCTTAACTTGCATATATTTGTATACACTTGGTGTTTTCATGATTTGAAGGTCTTATAATCTATAAGACCACATCTTTAGATATCATCATAGGTTATGTACTTTTATCAACATCTTACTTATTCAACTATTTTGCTTTTGGTGAGATGCCACATTACTAGAAAAAATCTATAGCCTTTTACATTTATTGATACAACCTACATTATGACGATGACTCATAACCGAGTATGCAATTAATTTGGAGATTTATCGGTACATTGAATTTTCAACACATCAAACCATACAATGAATTTGATGTATACACATTTATCTCACCCTCACTTTTAATATCACTAAGAACATAGTTTCTTTTCACCAACCATTGTATAATCTTCAACAGATCGTAAGAATTTAGGTTGAGTTAGATGTTATTTTTTGAGGAACTACCTTTAGACCTCAATGCAAAATATGCACAAGGGTGTGCAAAACCAAACCCTAAAACAAAAAAGAAAAAAGAAAACCGAGCAAAACCAAAACCAAACCCTAACCGTCGGTTTTGAGTTTATATTTCTAACCAAAAAAATCGAGGTAGGATCGGTTTTGTAAATATAAGTGTAACATCCCGACTCCCAAATATAATATTTATACATACTTATTTTCTAGTTAAATGAGCGACTCGACGAGTGTGTTCCTCGACTCGTCGAGTAGAGTCGAATTGGCCACGTGGGTTTAATAACCAACTCGACGAGTCAGAGAGCATACTCGTCGAGTTGGCGGCTGTGTGAGCAAAATCTGATTTTCCGGGGTTGAGTCCTATTTAAAGGGCCTTAAGCCCTAATTTCATCCTCCCTCATCACCCTTGAGCACTGTGAAGAACCCTAATCGAGTTTTAACTTATTGTGTGAGAATGAGAGGCTATCTTGAGCATTTTAGTGCACCTTGAGAGAAAAAGAGGAAAGCATCAAGGCTTGGAGCAAGGAGGGATGTTTGGATCTAGAGGTTCTCAGTGGATAGCTTCTGTTTGAGGTAAAAAGATGTTATCGTGATCATTTTTCTTGTAAGATCTTAATTTGGGGAGTTCTAGGGTTTTTCCCATCCTTCTTGTGTTATTGAGTCCATTGAGCATATCTTGAGGTTGAAACCTCAGATATGGACTATAAGAGGTCTTGTGAGCCCAAACACCCAAGCTTTATGGAGCTAGAGGCAAGCCTATGAGCACCAAACCCTTGTTGGAGCTTGTATTGGCATTATGGAGCAAATATGCCATGCATGAACGTAAAGATCGAAGCTTTACATGACATTCGAGCCTTGGGAGACTATATCTAGATTTCAGAGTGGTGGGTCTGTCTGAATGAGAATACTGACTGAATGGCCTTACCGAGTCAATGAGCTGACTTGACAAGTCGGCTAGGGTTTCCCCCGATGAGCCTGGACATGGGTAACTCGGTGAGTTGATGATACAACTCCATGAGTTAAGTTAGATTTCCATGATGTTTCTGAAGGAACAATAGGGACTCGACGAGTCACATAGATGCACTCGGTGAGTCAGGTCAACATGGACCGTTGACTCGAGTGTTGACTTTAGGGTTTAGTCAAGGCAGGGATTATGGGGACCACGGAAGGGTAAAATGGTCTTTTACTCATTCCAAGAGTTTGGGAGAGAGAATAAATTAGTTTATTTAGAGTCGTGATTAGAGATAATTATCTTATGTGTTAGGCGAAGGCTAGTTCGAGATTCGTGTACGAGATTATTACTTGCTTGCTTACGATGTGAGTCTTCTCACTATACTTACCTAGAGTGGTAATCTTTGTGTGATCGGAGGGTCTTATGTGTTTATATTGGGTATTGTGATATCCTCCATTATGTCTTTGTGATTTATGATTTGTGTTATTCTGAGCTTACTGAGTTAGGATCGGAGGGTCCACCCAAGTTGTGGGACTGGAGGATTCCACTTAGACACATTAACCGGAGGGTCTTATTTGAGCATAACCATGAGAGGCTAATGAGATATGTTTGGTATTTTAGGGAACTCACTAAGCTTCGTGCTTATCGTGTTATGTGCTATGTGTTTCAAGTACTTCTCAGGATCATGAGAAGGCACTGACTTGATTGTACACACACGAGTTGGAGATTTGTTTTGGAGGATCCTATATTGTGTTATAAACAACTTTTAAACATGTGTTTTGATAACTTGATATAAACTGATAATTTTTGGGATTGTGCTAATGAGATTAATGTGATTTTAAATAAAAACTTTGTTTGAAAATTTACGGTATTAAAAGTTGGCATCAAAGCCTTGGTTTGAGGGATTCAGATATATTTTTGGGTGTGTCTAGACTCAAACTGAGGATTTAAGAAAAACCTTCAAAAGAAATTATTTTTCTAAAACAAGAAAGAGTTTAAAAGAAAAATGAGTAGGAGCAGTGTGTACAATCAGCCAGAGCTCGAACGGTGATTTCCCAAAATACCCTTACTTAATTGTGTTATGAGATATTTGTGTGATGTTAGGGATGCATGCTAGAGGATAGGGTAGGTATTTCATATTTAGGGCTAGAGTTGCTTGATTTGTGATGCTTTAGCCTAGGAGATGCTGCTATCTGATATTTTCTTTGAGTATCTGCTGAATAGGAGTATTTAGCAGGAATCACTTAGAGACGGTTCTGAGTTGAGGGATAATCTAGGAGAGATACCTAGATGACCATATGAGAGGTCTACCGAGAGGGTAGTCTATTATTCATGAGAGTTAGAGTACTTGTGAATCGGGATCCTAGGAGGAGGACTTGGGGTGACTACAAGTTGGTGTGGAAGGTAGTATTGGGCCCGTACTACTGAAAACACTGGATCTGTATGCAACCCAAGTAAGAAACCTTTGGATGATAAGGAACAAGTAGGGACGGGTGATCGAGTGTGAGAATGCTTGAGCGAGTCTCTAATGATTTTGTGTTTTGTTTCAGAGACATCATGGTGGGTACACGCCACAACCCCGGGAGCAGTGGGACTAGTGATAATGGGATTCGCAGGATGATTCATGAGGAGGTGGCCGCATTAAGACCACACTAATTGAGAAATTTTACAAGCGGTAAGCTGCTGTTACTGAGGCAGATGTTGCTGCAGCTACTGCAGCTGTCGCCGCTATCAGGCCACAGGGAGGTGACTCGTTGTTGTTTCTGGAGTTCAGCAACACGAAGCCACCATAGTTTGATGGGACACGGGATCTTATTGTTGATATGAGATGGATCTATGATATTGAGGGGTGTTTTTATATGTGTTCATGCCCTGATCATTTGAGAGTTCGGTTTACGCTGAACCAGCTTCGCACGGGGGCAAAGGACTGGCAGAAGTTTGTGACTACCAATTTTACTCCTGCAAACCATGTTGTAGTGATGTGGGAGAGGTTCACTCAATTTTTCCGAGATTAGTATGTTCCCCCGGTGGAAAGGGAATGTTTGGCCCAGGAGTTTCTATCTCTCAAACAGAAGACAAAGTCAGTGACTGACATTACAAGGATGTTTCACGAGAGGGCATTGTTTTGCCCTAAGCACGTGTCTACCAAGCAGGCACATGTGAGCCAATATCTGAGCATACTAAGGAGGGATATATGAGAGTTCATGGAGAACTCATCATACCGAACATTGGTTGTGCTTCAGACCAATGCCAGACGGAGGAAGATTGAGCTAGAGTTACAGACAAGGGAGGAGGAGGAGTCTCGAAGTAGGGACTAGAGACCAGCGCAGTCGTAGCCGGATACAAAGCGGGATAAACCCACTGATACGAGTATTGGGGTCCAGAAGGGTAAAACTTGTGGCAAGTGAGGCAAGAGTCATGAGGGATCGTGTCGGGCGGGGATTTGCTACAAATGTG